TCTTAAATTGATTTCATTAGATCTTGTGGATGCAATGTTTCTTCTAATTAATCTTTGTTCTATACAAACTTGTTCCCTTTCGACAAAATTCCACGCCTCATATCATATCGAAAGCACATAGATTCATAATATGAAGTTAAAATCGACCTCTTGTTAGATATCAAAAAACTTTTGTCCATATACCCGATCAAATGATGAATCAATCCCAAATGCGTATTAGTTTAATCCTTAGAATTTTTTATTCTGCATGTCCTATTAGTTTCACATAGTAATGTTAAAAAACATCAACATATTCGACTGACGTTGATTGATCAAGATCAAAACTGGATTTAAATGAGACTATCACATATCCTTTTATGATCTTATCTATAGTTTGGCCTCATAGCACTACTCCATGAGATAATAGAAATGCATAGAAATTCACAAGCACCATTGATATAGGATTTTCTATATCTGTATATAAAATATGCATGACATTGGTTTTACTTAAAACTCTTCCTTAGAGATCCGATGAACCTGCAATAGCATTCCTCATTGTCGGCACTTTTTCTCCATGCTGTCTGACGAATTAAAATTGATTTCTTTTCCAAATTTCTGACATATACAAATAATTAATTTATTACAAACAAAAATAAAACCGAATACTAACTTAGAAAAAACAGTTTTTATTTACAATATAAATTATATGTTGTTTCATTACTATTGTAGCATTTCACAAAAGTGAAAGTATATAATCAAAACATATGTAAATATTACAAACTATAAACAAAATACCAGTAAGATAAGATTGTGAAACGCGATGAAGTTACTAATTTCGTAAACGACGAAACTCATTGACATGTTTTGGTTTATCAATTCTCACCTACAATTGATGCACATCTATAACCCAAGATGTTCGTCTTTATACATTACAGTGAGTGGAAAATAGTGCAATGAACGCTTCTCTTAAATTTAGTTGTGATTCACTTTGGTCCTGTAATAGATATTTTTTTATCGATGTATCTGTCGTTGTTCATAGGAGGGGGCTACTATAATTATTCATGTGACACAATTTAAGAGATAAGAGAGGTATTCTGCTAATATATCCTCAATATTCCTGATAAGAGGGTGGACATAACTTCTGTACCCTTCGCACTCTGTTGCAAGGAAACAAAGTAAACAGCTAAGCGACAAAGTGATTTTGCTTGTACTCTAATTTTCTGAATAGGACAGTATGCAGTCAAGTCGAATCGTATCTTGTGCGTTAGAATATTGAATATGGTAAAAACATAAATTCTTACATTCTATTAAGAAAAATTTCCTAAAATAGGTTAATCTCAACATTGAAGATTCTGTTTATTGTTTGGAATCTGTTATTTGTTCATTGTGAAGAAGACCAGTCAAACTTCTACACCAATACTTCCATACTTTGGTTAAATCATATTTTATAAAAATATCGTACATCTTCTGTGAAAATCTTTGGCAAATAAAAGGATCAATAACTCCATATTTTATTCAGTATCTTAACGAAAATCACAAACATTCAGTCGCTGTCATCCATACATCTTTTTATAAACCCTAATAATATTTATATCAATGCTTTGAGTAGCTTTTTTTCTAAGAAATACTAATCTCTTTTGGAAAAAATATTTGCTTTCTGAAAACATATAGGAATATAGAGAAATTTCTTAAATATTGTGCCTTATAGCTATGATTCGAAAACATAGGAATACTACGAAGTCGGTCTATACTCTTGAATTTTTATCGTTAAAAAGATCCATATTTTTCTGTGAAACTGTTATAATTCATTAATGAATATCAATTAGTTATATTTGACAACTTTTTTTTAAAAAGATTCAAAAGATGTCAAAAATCTCTGGAAAAAAAAATAAAATTAAAACTCAAGACTAAATATGTGACACTAATCAGATGAATAACAGTTTAACTTTTAAATTTTTTTTTTAATGGAAAAAATTTCTCGATTCTAATACGATTGTGGATATTATTTTGTGTATAGTCCATAGTCTCTCGAAAACGATAAATAAAATATGAATATTGAATATAAAAAATATTAACATATTTTACTAACATATCAAGTCTCATTGTCAACCTCAATTTATAAATCATATAGAACGCTTCTCATGTTTTGACCACATTCTTTAAAAGACTGCTTATTTTTAACTTCTTCTAGTCTGTAAAATATACAATGTTAAGATATCATGACTAAAAACAATTTATTTATATTAGAGTTCTGTGGGATTATTCTGATAATTTCAGGACGAAAAAACGAATCTTGGAACCATCTAGAAAAAAAACAATGTCTCGAATATGTTTAATTCTTATATCAACAAATATTGCATATTTTACTAATTTTATTGCTAAGATATATCTTAATATTTTAGTAAATAACAGAAAAAAGAACTAGACTATCAGATGAATATAAGCCCAAGTAGAATAGCTAGTTGACTGAACGAACACAGATATATTCAGAACGCGATACAATAAGATATTTATTATTTCGAAATCGTAGACTTCTCTAGTGAAAATCATAACAAATTTCAGTTATGTTAAGTTAATAAATTAAGAGATAATGAATATGGACCAACTATTACAATACAAATAATCTATTGTATATAGCATCTGAAATATAAATAATCTTTTTCAGATAGAATCATACATGACTAGTCATGAAAACTTAACTTTTAATTATTATTTTTCATTTTTTTATGGACGCCGAATGAAATCGAATTTTTGAAAAAGGAATTTTCACATGTCGACACTTGCATCATTCTCATGATATCAACAACTTTTTTCTTATTGTTAAATGCTGATTACCTATGGAGAACAAGTGGCTGACTTGAATTATGATAAATGTATAGAAAAGAAGAATTCGTCATGGAAACTTAGCGAGTGAAAAGCAATAAGTCGTTTGCTACACTTTGTGCATTGAGTCACTTGTTCTTCTTTCAACAATACAAACAGGATTCGAGACAGGATATAAATTTGTATCATATGACTCTAGATTCTATTCCTAAACTTTGACCAAATAGAAAACAATAAATTTGGAGAAAATAGAAAGAAACTATTTTATTATATTAGTAAAAATAATTTCGTCAAATATATTCTTAAATGTTTATACAATAAAGCATAAACTCACTGTATTGTGCACAATCATTGAATCAATATCTATATTTGTTGTTTAAAAATATGTTGAAAAGGTAATTCATCTAAAAAATAAATATAACTTGTAATTGTTTCTTTGCAATACTTCTTTATTAGATTATTGAATGACTGAGTCAAGGAATTTTCAACCCTTAAAATAAATTGAACAGTTTTAGATCAGTAAAATAAGAATAATCGACAGCAAAAAGAATACGCTACATATATAATGAATCAAGAATCAAACATTTCACATTGTGATGTACTTTTGATAATATATCAAAGCAAAATCGATCAACTATTTGGTCACAAGTTGGATAATTATCATCGGTAAATCTTGATATGAAATTGAGAGTATTGTTGAAGATCTTGTCTTGTAACAAAAGGTTAAGTCTTTCATTATTTATATCAAATAGCACATAGAGAAGATCAATATTATGGAGTTTTTTGAAAATCATAAGCAAGATTTCATTGGGTATATCAAGAAATCGGGCGTTCAGTCAATTCATATTTGAAAAGAATCGTGACGTATATTCTTATGTATGTAGATTCATTGGTTTTCTATATTTATTGGCATCATTGTACAAAAGAAAGAATAGCCTAGTCAAAAGAGAAAGTGAAGTTCTAGTTACTAATGGATGAACAATGTGCTCTTTCGTCAATCTATAATGTTATAACCATGTCTTAACTATGATCGTTCAAAAGAAAAATAAAAGAAAATATCATATTTACAGAATCAAGCAAAATGTCTATCACACAAAAAGCAGAAACTAATTCACATATTCATTTAAACAGCAAACGATTGCAGTGGCAATGTTGAATTATCAGACGAATCAATTTCAAAGAAAAAAATGAAATAGAATTGATAATGAATAGCATCCTTGTCGTTGAAGTCTCAAACCAATTCGAAACAGTAACATTCAATCATCGGAAACTTTCTAAATAAAATAGACATTTTGTGTACAAAAAAATATTTACATTATAGACAATAATTAAAACAATCATATTGATGGAAATATAAAAGCAATAAAGAAACTAAGGTTATTTATAGCTGTAAAAGAAAGATAAATCAGGATACATTTGACTTTTGGTGGAATCCGCTCACGCCGAATTCTATCCCCTCAACTCACATTTCTTATAAAAAAAATAAAATCGATTTTTCTATAGTACCCGAAGGGCAAGACCAACACCCTGCGGGTATTGGACATTTTGTTGTACTTTCTTTTCAATTATTAGAACTCCTTGTATTTATGTAAATGTTATTTTTTTCTCACTAATACAACTATAAACGACATCTCGATTGTCGCGCTTGTAAATTATTATGATTCACTACCAAGAACTGACTGGTTACACATTCCTATTCTGTTCTTCCAGCAGTGACGTGGGTTTTTTCCGTTCTTTTGCCATTTACACGTGTTTAACATATTAATGTTTAACTGAAATTTCAACATGAAATATGCTTCATGAAAAAAAATTTATACGTGCAAATAAATGAGTTTTGTTTTGTTCCTTATAAATCTTAAGTTTATTAATAAATATTTCAAATAATTGTTGTTTGCTAAAAATGAAATATCTTTTTATATTGATATTAAAAAAAACTATTTTGGAGAAAAAGATAAAATTCGTTAGATACAAATGGTTATGATGTCTGTTTATTTCAAAAAATAGATAATGAAAAAAATTATTATTTATTTATTTATTTATTTTTTGTAGAAAAATTATTTTTTAGACTGATTTCATTGATTCAGTCAAAAGGATAATTATTCATGGTAAATCCGTTAATTTTATAAAAGACAGCTGTTAACGGAAAATAAAGTTTAATTTCAAAAACAAAAAAAAAAAACTTGTTTTTGTTACTTGCAATGACAGAACGAACTCGAATGCATCAAATATCGTTACAAAATAATGATATGCCTATTCATAAATGTATGTTAATATGAATTAAGTTTTTTTGTTTTGATCTATTATAACGGCTTTTTTTTTCTTTTTTCTAGTTATTCCAATGGAAAAATTGGATTTCATTCAGTCGAATCAAGTTCGAATTCTTTATTATCAAAGTCCCAGTCGATTTTATGTTTATCTTCGACAAAAGATTAACACTCATGCACAAGTAAAATGACCTTCTCGAATTAGATCATCTATTCAAAATTGAAAAACCAAAATAGATCATGTTGTAGAGCGAGTCGAGATGCATTCCAATGGTATATATTAAATCTTATTTTCATAAGACTTTAATCTGTTGGTGACAGGGAATGTATATATATATATGTATAAGTTTTGAGTTTTAGCAGAGATTTTAACGTTTATGATTATCTATCTTCATTAAGACATAATAGTATTATCTCCTTCCAGCATATGATTAGCATCATACAGAATCATTATGCGGTATCATTATTTATGTGTATTGAGAAGAAACAAAAGAATTTTCCATTCGGGAAGTAATTGTTTGATGGTGCCATGGCTGTTACTAAACCTGTAATGTAACAGATTATCAGAAGTTAGATTCTATGAGTTCTATACTATAATATAAGGTTTCAAAGTTCTTCATAGAACCATGTACAGGCATTCACAAGAACCAGTGCCATTCTACTTGACTGCACAATCCAAAAATTTTATAGAGTTTAATGATTCTTCATCAAATCTGCTGTTAAAAAAATTTTCTTACATAGGATTTTATGCAAACATTCCAGGATTACAAGTTCATCTACTTAACATCTCTCATCATCCTAGTTTCAACAGGAAAAAAATGTGATTTTTCAATGATTTATCACTAGTTTTCACTAAGGGTAAATCTTCATCTCTTCAATAGTACTGATTATAGAAAATGTGACTAGATGATAAACTGTCTCAGAAATTGCCTACGATGCATCATAATAAAACACATTATTTCGAAGTTCTTCAAGATGAGTGTATAACACCCAGGATAGCTTAGCCTTGAGAGATCTGTGTTTTCTTTTTTTTTAGCATTGTATATCGATATCTTTGACGTTCAAAGCCGGTTTTAGTACGAAATAAACATGATATGCAGAGTTAACATAACAAGTAGCATCGAATAACTCATATTTTAACTAAACACTTTTTTCCCGCTAGAATTCGATCGGTACTGTTTTCGCGAGACCATTTTCCCTGTATTTCACGCTGCAGTCAATCACTCCAAGTCAAATTTTGTTGAAAGAAAATATTCCGTTAAAATATTAGCTATTCGATGCTACTTGTAATGTTGATTCCGAATATCATGTCTATTTCGCTTCGGAATCGACTTTTGATAGTGAAAATATCTTAATACAATGCGACAACAAAAGAAAATGAAGATTTCTCAAGTCAAAACTATTGTGGAGAACTTCCAAATAATGTGTTCCGTAATGCTAGACTTCGAGCAATATCTGAGAAAGGTTGGCGTCTGATTACATCTTGTATGATCGACACCCTCGAAAACACGTCATTAGTAACAATGAGAACAGATCATTGAAAAATTGTATTTCTGTTATTAAAAATAATACAAACAATGATCAATCACTGATCATGCTTTGGACCCATAGTCGTCTATATTCTTATGAAAATAAAACCAGGACATACTATATTGGTTTTTCTATTCTGAATAGATCATCTAATCTGATAGAATCCTTTTTGCAGCAAATAAATTTGACTGAAAAGTGAAAAATTATAATGATTTTATTATAGTTTCAAGTTGAATTACAATGTGCTATGCAAAATTATCAATCAACAACGTTATCTACACAATATATACGTTATCAACCTGTTGCTGCACAAGATCATCATGCTATATGGCATCGTGCTACTATATTAGGTCTATCTTGCTTTTTTTTTCTATGGATTTTTTTTTGTAATTTTGATTCATTTTGTGTTTTAAAGGTTTTACTTCTAATGAAACTGAAGTATGCATTTATTTTGTTGATGTTGGTGAACAAGAAAATATCTCTATAACAAATATTCGTCCATTACCACAAGAATTTATTCGTCAACCAGCATTTGCAATACCATGTCGTTTATATCAAATATATCCACTTGATGGTAATGAACAATTAATATGGAGATCAGATGATCCAGTACATGATGAATTTAATCGACTTATGGCTAATAATGCTAGTTGTAAAGTTTGTGATGTTAAAGAACAAATATGCTATGATGTTGAAATTGAGATTCCTAGTAAGTATTTGGTTTTTTTTTTAAATAAATAATCCATTCTGTATCGATCATATCTAATATTCTGATAGGCAATAATTGATATTTGTTTAGAATTTCTTTCCAAGAATAATTTCTAATTGTTGATAACAGCATTTCTAATGTTATTATTTTTGTAGAATTTACATATAAACTTCTGAACAAAAGTCTTTCCTCTTTCTGATCTCATGAGAAAAATTTCACCAATTGATTGATTGCTGTTGAGTCAAGACTATATGCACTATGCAGATTTTAATCGAATATGAATATCTATACAAATGTAGTTTCTCTGTCGTAATATGCTAAGGCTCGAAATACTTTCCAGAGTGTTTATTGTTTGTTAGGATCTATATGATTCTCTTAATCTTAACTTAGAAGTGATTAATCAATTGTTGTAACTCGACAGATCTATCATCATGTAGCACTCTATTTCAGCTATCAGTTATACAAATTTTGATGAAGATTCGTTAGCCTGCCTTAGAATAATAGTTATTTTACTCTCATCATCGATGTGAGAAAACTCATCTATTACCCTTTCAAGGTCTGTAACTCAGTGCTAGTTTAATAAATTGTTATGAAACTTTTAGAGAAACATTTTCCATATGTTATTGTTTTCTGCAAGTTTCAGAATCAAATGTTATACTAGAACGTAATGACATACAAAGGATTATCTTATTAGTGTTGATGATTCAGAGATAACAAGATTAGGGAAAATGAAGTTATCTTTTGAATGATGAAAGAGCGTATGCTTCACTAATGTTGTGTATGAAAATATTCAAAATTGATCCGATATATGACACGAAACACGGTAAAATATATAGACAGCCTTTTGAGGTCATAGGTCTTAGAGCAAAAATACATCGCATTGATTATAACTCGTTTTCGTCTCGAGTAAACAAGATCTGGATAATACAGCTGACGTACATGTCTGATGGAATATGTGTACACAAGTGTTTAGATCTCTAGCCATTATAATGACTGAGAAGATGCCAATGACTACATTTTGCTTTTCCTTAGCTCCTTAGCAATGGGACCAGGTTCTGAATGAAATTGAAAATAAGACGTACATTGTTCTAGAATATTTCAAAGTTTCTCTTGAATTATAAATATTAATATTTCTCAGTTTATCGAAATGTATAATAACGGATTGAGACCTATTATGGATATAATGGATGTATAAAAAAAAAAACTTGTTTATCAGTTAAATCAATACTTAGAATAATAATATTAATGTTAAATTAAGAAAAATAGAATACAAAAATGAGAATAACACGGCAAACAAATAATAGAACGCTAGTAAAATTCTGTTCGACATAGAGAAATAAATAAGACAGATCGTTTCTAATAGTGATCGATCATCGTTGAAAAGCATCTTATTGTCTATTAAAGATTTTCATAAGTTAAATACAGACGTATTTACATTACAACATGTTACATTCAATTGAGATTTTGCTGTTTTAAACTTGTTTTTTCAAATCTAGAGATATTCAAAAACAGAATCTGAAAGTTTACTAAGATGCACATGTTAAGACAAAAATTAATAGAAGCAAAACAAAACACTACAAGTCAGTTTTCTGTTGTTTTGAGTGAATCATCTTATAAATTATATCTATTAAAACAAACTGAAGAAAAAGACAAGAACAAGATCCATTTCAGACATGTTTTTAGATTTTCTCTAGACAGAAGAAGACAGCACGAAAGATAAACTTTGGTTCCACATATCTCTAGTCAAATGATCGTTTTTAAACCAATACAGAATAAATGAACGACTAATTTATAGTATATATGTATATAATCTAACATCGAATTCAACATTGATTTAATGTGTCATTAAAACAATATTAGATCTCATAGATCTTTTAGTAAAACAATACTCAAAATATATGTTAGTAATATTCCTAGATTTAAAAGTTTTCCGATGAATTTCATTCGATTAAAAATTTTTCTTGTTCAAGAAAAAACCCGTATTGATATGTCTAATAGTTTTGTATTCTTTGTAATATATGAAGATTTGCATAAGGCTATGAACTCAATTGAAAAATAAATTATGATGTTTAGCGTCATCTATTATCTAAATTGAACGCTTCATTGATTCGTTTTCTTCACTCGTCTATGTATATGATAAACTTTGGGTAAAAATATCCGACACAGACATTCATTTCTTCTTTCTATATATGTTTACACTATTTAATCTATTTCTTTCTTTTGAAAAGAAAAATAAAGAATTAGTTATCCATGTGACTCTTATATAAACATTCGAAAGAAAAATAAAGTCTTCAATATATTTTCTCTTTTCAGAAGTGGGAGATCTTGGAACATATCTTTTTGGAAAAAATCTTGTATCTCGAATAACAATGCGACCTTCTCAACCAACAACTTATAATTCAAATCAAACACAACAACAAACAACTGATCGAATACCGCCCGGTTTTTCAGCAATATCTTCGTCAACACGTCAGCCACAACCACAGCTACCAAGGTTAACACCACAAAATGAATTTTATAATAATTCAAATAGTACAGTTCCACAACCGCTCATTCGTGCATTACAGAAACCGATTGTTCAACAACCTCTTTCTAGTGCACCGTAAGTCTAACTTTCTATTTATTCTGCTATGAAGTGTTGTCATCTTATTTTTTTTTTTCATTGTGATTCTTACAACTTGTTGTTAACTGGATTCAAGTTCGAAAACTTTGGATCTGACTAGCTCTAGGTAGCCATATATCCTAGCAAAGAAACATAGTCAATTGTCGAGTGCTGTTCAACTTCATATGACGATTAGGTCTCGATAAGACTAACGAGAAAACCTTCCCATGTTCTAAATGCTTTTGCACTGAAATTTGATCTACAAGTAGAGGATGTATGCTTTAGAATCAAATTTTTCAGTAAAACTTCCATTAAAAAAGTCTTAATTCTTCATGAATAAACAATGTGTCTGAATTCTTTCAAACTTTTCCTAGTCTTACCGGAACCTACTCGTAGTCTTATTATGGCATTAAACGGTGTTCGAAAGTAAAATGTGTTCCCTTGTAAGTGTTGCGTGCTGACGAAAGAACCGCTCCTGCTAACTCAAAGCCTTGATGCTGATACTTTGTCCATAACTATGATAAGTTTTTTATGAGTTAACAGAAGAATCAAATTACAAACTATATTCTACTATTTTTCAAATAATTTTTGATAGAAGCATGATAGATACCTGAGACTCTTATTATTCGACAGAGAAGATCCTGGCCTATCAATGTATGTTGAAACCTAAATAGTCAACAACTGACCAATTAGGTAAATTCTTTACACAGATTTGAAAAAAAGATATTCTGAAACCATTCCTATCAGATTCAGACTTGAAATATAACCAATTGATAGAAAATGCTTTTCATTCAGTGTACAACAGTTCCTACTTTCTAGAAAGTTCAGTTCAAGAGTAACAAGGACTTTGACTAGAATGCTAATGTTTATGATTAATTTTAATGAGATCTGAGACGACGATTTCAGTATATTTTTATAGCTTCAGAATCTATTTTTCAAAATCTTCGGAAAGAACTTATCTGATTAATCAATTATTACTATTTAAAAATGTGAATAGGCACATGAATGAATAGACTTGAACTGTCTATACTAAGCATTTTAATAAAACTTGATAATTTATGTTATTTTTAGAATATCGGCTGATTCATTATCATCTGAAATTCAAAGTCTTACACCTCGTATGTATAATTAACTTTCTATTAGAAATCTTAAACATTTCTATTTTTAGAGGACGGATATTATATAATAACTCATGTTTATAGTGCTATTGAATTTTATGGTCATTCTCAAGGTCGTGAAAAAGAATTAGATGCATTCTATAAACATCTTGAAGATGTCTATAATAATAATACAAATGATCAATCATTAAGTGTACATTTTTTAATGGAAGGTATACCATGTGTTATTCAACAAGGTGATAAATATCATCGTGTTACTATCAAGTACAATATTCTTAGAAACAAAATTTTGAAATATATGTATCACTTTTATTTTTGTTTATTTAGACATCGTGAAAGTGAATCACGAGTATTAGTTAAACTGATTGATCGTGGTGATGAAATTATTGTTGATACATCAGAATTATTAAAACTTGAAAAAAAATATTTTTCAATACCAGCATTTGCACAACCATTTCGTTTATATAATTATGATGAATCAGTAAGATTATTTATTTTTTAGAAAAAAAAAAAAGAAATAATGAATTCTTTTCTTCTAGCATAGTACAGCTAATATAACACGTAAATTAAAAAGATTAATTCTTAATCAACGTGTTCATATAACACAACATTTACCAACAATTAATGGATTTTATCCAGTTGAAGTTAAATTATCTGATAATCAATTAGTTAATCAAATTCTTCTTTCGAATGATAATAATCCAATAGTATGTATCTTGTTTATCTTTGTTCAAAAACAAATAAATTATTCTTTTCTTTGTTTATTCAGATTTCACCACCGATGAGATCTACGGAGTAAGAATATTTTTTTGTGAAATTTATCTCGAAATTTATTTTTGATTTAGATTACAACCGATAAAAATTCAACAAGATATGAATACACAACGAATCAATGATGATTTACCAGCACCACAAAAATTATTAACAGCAGCAGCACCAGTATCTGGACGTACACAACCAGGTCGTTTTACGACAAAATCTCCTGTTGTAAATGAACCAACATCACGTTTTTCACGATCAGAACAACAAGATGAATCACGTCCATTTGGACAACAAACACAGACATTTACATCAAGAACAGCAAATGGATTTCAACAATTAACAAATGAACAAAATCGTTCAGCTAGTATGAAGATAGAAAAACTTTTTTTTTACTTAAAAGTTTATATAGGATAGAAATTTGCACACTCTCCCACGAACTGTAATAGACATCTAGGGAGCTACAGGTACACAGTTTGGTGATTCTAGACTCGACAGAAGCTAAATTTTTGGATCCGAGATTCGTTCTCATACCATTCTCAATAAAATATTTGAAACCATCTGGATAGTCGCCCAGAAAATATGACACAATTTTTTCGTTTATGTATATTCAGCAACTAGCACGGTCTATACATTTCTCAGGAGCATCTTGATGGTGATTATATGAGTTGGTCATAAGCTATATTGGTGTTATAGATAGAGGAACATTCTTGGAAAGTTTTGCTCGATTTATAGGTGCAAAAAATTGTGCCAGTTCATGATGCTGAACACAGTTTTTTGCGTGAAAATACTTGACGTTAAAGAAGGACAACTTTTTTTCACATCCAAAACAGATACAAGCAAATTCATAGAGTGAAAAGCATAGTTTTAGATTATATGTTATCTTCACTAATGTGAATAAGAGAAACAAAGACTTTTGTGTCTTTAAACAACACATACATAACATTATATGCTACTCTATCTAATCCATTCAAAAGTACCCTTTCAATTTGCCACTTAATATCCACCGAGATGCTCACAGTGCGGCGCTCTCTAGGAGGAAATAGCGCCCTCTCGTGCCCTTGAGAGTATAATGGGTGTACCAATTTATGACTAAGAAAAATTTAGACCTAAATTCAAGAAAAGGCGGCACTCTCGTGCTTCCTGGATTACGAAAGTACATCGTTTCTCTCTTAGCCGTCTCCTCTGTCTGTGCCACAGATTGTGGCAGCCGTATATCAACAACATCTCTTTATAATATATGAACTACGACCTTATGGCATTATTAGAGAATTAAGTCAGAAGATGATGAAGAAAGGCAATTATAAGTTTTTCGATAATTTTTCACTACAGAAAGCGATATATGTCGTCTTGTAAAGAATGACTTCCTTTGAAAGCCGGTATATATTCGATTCTGTAGTTCCGCATTTTAATCCCACAGGAATTGTGTCCATATCTTTTGTTTTAATTTAGGTCGTGGATTTTCTACTGATGAACCACAAACGAATCAACGAAATGGATTCGGAAATAATCGTGGAGGTGGTTTTGCTGATCGAGGAAGTAAAGTTTACATAGTTTGAAACCATAAAATAGTGAATATTTCTTTAAATAGATCGTAATGGTTTTAGTGATCGAAATTTTGAAAATAAAAATGAAAATAGTATGCAACGAACAGGAGGATTTACTAGTAAAAAACAAATTAAAATGAGCTTCTCTTTTATCTTTTTTTTTCTATTATTTTTTAAGATCGTACTGGTGGTTTTGCTGAACGAGGTTGTAAGTATTTGAATCATATTGTTTATTTTTAATCGATGTTTTTGATTAGCTCGTAATGAAGGTTTTCATGATCGTCATAATGAAAATCGTAATAATCAAGATGAAGATAATAATGAAAATAGTAATACACAACGGTTTGGTAGTAAGCATTCTTTTTTCTCTTGAAATTTTCGATGGATATTTATTACGAATTTTTAGATCGTGGTGGATTCAGTGGAGAACGAGGAAATCGAGGTGGTGGATTTCAAAGTTTTCATGACAAAGAAAGTAGTGGAGACAGTGGACGAAGAGGTGGTCGTGGTGGCCAACGAGGAGGTAAATCAGTAATTGTAGAGTTTATCTTCAAGCTTTCAGATATTTCTCACGTATGGGTTAGGAAAGTATTCCTTAGGCTAGTTTTTAATCAGTAGTCAGCTAAGAGAATCAACATCTTTACATACGTCGATGCTAAAAGAACTTGTTCAGATACATCAATCAGAGTGAAACGAAATGTTGTTATATGAGGTTCTTTATCGTCATCTATAACAATAGATTTTAGTATCTGTCTGCAGATATCATAGTCGTGGGCATTTTCACAATAAGTCAAGTACGGAAAAAAGCTCGAAGCTTTGATTTCTATCATTCTAGAGAGAAGATCGAGAGCCACCAAAATAATACCGAATTTTGATTATTAAGCCGTCAACGAAACAGGTGAATTCTTGGTTAATATTTCCGAAAACAGTATTCAGCACTTATTTCCCTTTCAATAGAACTAATTGATACAAAACAATTCATCTCTTTCGATCTACACAACGCCAATATTTCTAGCTTTTTTTTGACAAGCTCGATTTCAGCTAATAGGTCTGTGATCACCAGACAAATCAATTAATCAGCAAGCAAATCGTCAAGCTTAATCGAATGGTAATATTTGTTTCTAGGCTCGATCTGAGCTGACACTTAAACTCTGACTTCTTCATTTCATCGAGACAGATTGTCGAATTTCAGAAATATTGAGATAACGGTGTCAGATCAAATTGAACCTAAAAACCCAAATATCACTATTCGACTTAGTATTTGATATTATCTCTGTCAGACGAATTTTACCAAGAACTACAGGTTGATTGACTGAAATCTGAATCGAAAGAAAAGTCATGCCATTGAATATAGATAACATGGTCCCACTCATGACTACACATAGCTCTCGAATGGAAGTAGATCATAAAAGAACAATTCTTTCTAACAATTAGTTCTATTGACAGGAAAATAGCTACGACATTTTCATTAAGAAATCACCTGGTTAGGCAATGGCTGATCTATCAAATGTCGATATACTTCAATGGCTTTGAATCTTGTCTTTTGAATTGTGAAGATCTCAGGCTGCCATCCATTTCTTTTTTTTTTGAGTTGTGGCAAAAATACCCACAGTCATTATATCTTTGGATGGACATTCGTATACTGCTAATTTCTTTCTAAATATACTCATAATCAAAAGGTTATGACACAGCGATCGGTATTTTTGATAATATTTCTTAGTTGATTATGCTTTGTATTTGAATTCTTTTTTGTTTATAGGTCGAGGTGGCTTTAACGACCGTGGTGATCGAGGTGGTTTTAGCGATCGTGGTGGTCGAGGTGGTTTTAACGACCGTGGTGGTCGAGGTGGTTTTGAAGAGCGTGGTGGCCGAAGAGGTTTTGGAGAGCGTGGTGGTCGAGGAGGAGGTCGTGGTGGACGTACCGGTGATTTTGAAGATCGTAATGATAATGAATATCGATCAAATTCTGATAATAATGATACAATGAAGACATTTAGTGGTTGGCCAAATGTTAAATCGACTGTAAAATCTTTCGAAGCCGGTGATCATTTTCTTGACAACGAAATTCCTCAGGAAACATTTCAATTTGTTATAAGTCATATTGAAACATCAAATGATTTTTTTATTCAATTATATTCCAAAGCAGATGAATTATCTACACTTAGCGATACATTACAAAATGAATATAAAAATGCACCTGAAGTAACTTTTAATTCACTTGAAATCAATCAAGCTTGTTTAGCTAAAAGTTCAGATCAATGTTGGTATCGTGCTATTATTCTTTCAATTAATTTAACTACAATCAATGTTCGTTTTATTGATTTTGGTGATACAATTGATGTTGATAAAAAATCTATAAGACAATTAGAAAAAAAATTGTCTTTAACACCACCTTATGCTTATCGTTGTATGTTAGAAAATGTTGAAGGTAAAAAAGAAAAAAAAAAAAGAATTTTTTATTTTGAAATTCTTAATTTTTACTATTTATAGTAAATGAAAATATTGATAGAAATAAAATAATTGAAAAATGTGCTGATCAAATATTTAATGGTAAAATTCAAAAAAAATTATCCAATAATAAATATCTTCTTCAATCAGATAATTTTCAAAAATCAATGATTGATATTAATGCAATTAAATTAATATCTAAAACAAATATTAAATGTCATATTGTTTATATTAATATAGATAAATATGAATTTTATATACAAGATGATAATGAAACAATGACAAAAATTAATAACGAAATAACAACAACAACAACAACAAATGAAATTTCATTAGATGATATTCAAATAAATACAATGGTTATTTCATTATATAATAATAAACTTTGTCGAGCTATAATTCAAGCAGATTTAAATGAAAATGTTCGTCTTTATTTTGTTGATTATGGTGATACAAATATTTGTTCAAAAACATCATTAAAACAATGTAATGAACAATTAAAAACATATCCATATCAAGCTAAACGTTGTCAATTATATGATATTTCATCAAATATGTTAGATGAAGCATTTAAAAAACTTCATGAATATATACAATCAGATAAAATAGAAATTTCTATTGTTAATCAAGATGATACAAATTTATTTCATGTTCTTCTTTATATTGATGGTGAATGTTTTAATGAAAAATTTCATAAATCATCAATTATTATTGATCAATATGAAACAAGTAGTGATATTAATGATCAATCAAGTACAACAACAGCTACAACTGTTAAAGATCAAGAAAGACCAATGAGTGCAACAGGAAAAAGAAATAGTGCAGAAATATCATCACCAGGTGGAAATTCATTAAATGCATCAATGAATAATAAAAGACAAAAGAGCGAATCAGAAACGGACGGTATGCATTAAATTAAATTTAACTTTTTCTTTCTAGAAAAGTGTTAGAAAATATTCAAATGTTTTTATTCAGGATATAGGCTGAAACAAAACAAACGCTATTGTGATTAGAGCGTGTCAGGTTCAAAAATTTCAAACTGAATTGGAAATCAAACCCGACATGTCAATCATGATTGATATGTCTAAAGGCTTGAACAAGAGTTCTTTGCTGAGAGAATCTACAGAAAAGTAATATCAGCTTTCTAGCGTCCATGTGCAGCTTTTAGGAAAAAATTTTATTAGTTTGATGAAGAAAGACAATGAAAAGTTCGAAAACATCTCATCTTACCAGGAAAGAATTGTTCTGTTAAAGGAAACCTTTTATCAGAAGCTTTAAATACAAGTTAGAAAGCTGGTTTTTGATATTCCACAAGCTCCTCAATTTTATTAACGCTTTCGGGCATATCAATCTTGATAGAGAATCTTTTCAGAATTATTAATTGAACACTATCTAGCGTTCGTAGGTAAAAAAAACCAATCGGTTGATTCCGCTTGTTACTAAGAAGTTTGGTTCGCAAACATAAAAAGTTCTAATAAAATTTTCTTTTTGTACCTCGTATATTTAAACTATCCTTTGTTTTTTTTTTCTTTTATAGTAAATTTAGTAAAATATTATCGAGGTATTCTTACACATCTCGATGAAAATAAACCATTGGTTTATGTTCAATTATTACCCGAATCGGAATCTATGATAGAACAAATTAATGATTTAATTGATAGTATTATTCAAGAAAATAAACAAAATTCTTCATATGAAATTGGTGATTATGTTATTGCTCAATTTACTGATGATATGAATTGTTATCGTGCTCGTATTGAATCCTATTCAGATTTAACACAAAATTATACAGTCTATTTTCTTGATTATGGAAATCTTGATAAAAATGTTCCAAAAACTCATTTATATTCATATACAAATGAATTAAAACAAATTAAACCACAAGCTCATGGATATTTATTAGAAAATCTTACATCTCAAATATGGATTAATAAAGTTCGATCATTAATTGAAAATAAATTAAATGAAGAAATTGAATTTTATTTTATTGATGAAATTAAATCTATAATACATATGAAATTTGATGATGAAAATCAAATATATACAAATGAAAATAATCAACCAAAAACATTTACAGCAAATATATCAGGTATAAATAATGATTGTTTTTATATTCATATATTACCCGATGCTGATACACTTATATGTGAAATGGATGAATTATTACAAACATATGAAAAAGAACATAATATATTAAAATTATGGTCTATTAATGATTTATGTATTGTTTATAATAATGAATTAAATCAATATTTTCGTGGAAAAATTCTTTCAATTAATAATGATAAATATAATATTCAATGTATTGATTATGGAAATATAATAAATGATATAACAAATGATAATATTTATTTATTACCAAATAATGATATATTAAAACAATTACCATTAGCACGACAATGTCGTTTATATGGTGTTAATAATAAAAATCAAATAAAAGCAATTGAAGATATTATTAAAAATATACATCCAACAGAATGTGTTACAATAACAGTTGAAAATGATCAAAATGATCAATGTATGGATGTTATGTTATTTAGAGAAAATGATGAAATTGTTAATGATCGATATCAAGTTGATGATGATACCACAGTAAGATTTGTTTTTTTTTTTCGTTTTACTAATTATTAAAACTGCAATTACAGAAATATTTTAATTAAAATAACAAGGAAACATATCCAATTATCAATCATCGCTTGACTGCATATTATGGTTTAGACTTGACCTTGGTCAGACTAACGAGGCATAGTTTGTAATTGTCAGACAGATTTGTTCATCAAATATATCGGGTTATACATAATCGACCGTGTTAATTCTAAATATTAATACAAGATCGACAACTAAAACCCTAGAGACCCATTTTATAAAAACCAATTTTTTCTAGAGAAAAAAATTTTTGTAAGTTGTCTGAATTGTAGAGTAGATTAATTAGACAAAAGAAATACTTTTTTTTTCCTTCATTTGGAAACTATTACTAAAGCTACAAGAAACATAATAGTAATTTATGGTCAATTTGACGTACTCTACAATCGCAATAGATCAAAAATTTTCTCGCTAGAAAAAGTTAATTTTCCAAAAATGAGCCTCTGGAAAGCGATTAGACAGTTAGGAACTTTCCATTGTAAGACAAGTTTAAAAATATTCGGACTGAGAATGCACGAGTTTCAATAACTTGTTCAAGACCTATTGATTTACTTATTTTGTGATCAAAATTTTTCATCAGTAAGTCTATGGGTTCAAATTTACTTAAAACTTTTGTTAGTTTTTTTGAGACCTACTCATATTCATTATATGGAACCGAACAATATTCAACAGTTAGCCATATTTCTAAGTTAATAGACAAGTTCTATTCTACATATATCTAAAAGTTACGAGAAAGATAAACCAAACTTCATTTGTATTACAATTTATCAGCAAGTTAAGTGTCGAAAATTGAATGTTTAGGAAATTTTCATTTTCAGTTTATTTAATATCATTGAATAGAGCACATCGAGTTGCCTAAGAAAAAATTATTTTTTATGATTTTAATAAATATATTTTTCCTGAAAATATTAGAAAAAAAAAAGACTAAAGTCTAAATATCATAACTAGAATCGTTTACTATCGTAGATATGTAATTTTCATTTTGTAGAACATTGCAAGGGTCATTGCCTGATTCGACAGATAAAGTTGGCAAGAGAAACTATAGGTTGATGTTGTTCAATTATGATCTAATTATAACGCATGTGTCTCCAAGAGCATCAGAAGAATCAACTATTTTTTTATTTTAAAACTAAGTCATGTCGCATGGAAACTTTGCCTGAGAAAGATTACGAAGAAGAAATGAACTCGAAGATAAGTATGGACGAAATTTCGATATCGTTTCATGTTGATTACTAAAACTTAGCATGTCTTATAATCAAATCATAATTGAATAATATCAATATGAGGTTTCTTTTGCTAATTTTCTCTGTATAATCAGGAAAATTTTGTTTCATAGGTAACTCTATGCGTTCTATTCAACGATACTAAATAAATTGAAAACAAAATTCTGATTAAATTTTCAATATCGAGCAGCTTATCGTCTTTGAAAATGATTTATTGTTTCCATGGGGTTCTTTCTACAACCTATTTACAAATACACATATGTTTGATTAGGCGTTCTATCAAATTTCTATTAGCTAAATATTAATTTCCTCTTTTTTTTTTTTTTTTAGCAAGATACAGATGCTGATAGACAAAATGATATATTAACCAATACATCTGATTCAGCTATAGCAGCTGATGATGATACATCAAATATTGATGTTATAACAGTAAAAAATGATCAACATTTAATATCACCAATTGGTATTCCTCAAGCTGAAAGTACACATCAATTTGGTGATTCATCAAATGTTACACTGAATAATTCTTCATCATCAATAACAATAAATCAAACAATTGATTTTGGTGAAAATGATCCATCAACATCGAATACAACACTAAAAGATGATACTGAAAATGAAAATATATTAAATTAATTTGTGATATTCATTTTGTCTATCTATTCTTTCTTTCTTGTTCTTTTTTTTATATATTATTATAATAAAACAAAAACTGTAATTATACTAGTTGTTCATCTATCAAACTTAACATTGTTTATTTTTTTTTTTTCGTTTTCTTAAACTGTTCAAGTTCTCGTGCAGATGTCTTTCTGTTTGGATGTGAGATTAGTTTCGTTTTTTTTTTGTTCTCTTGGTTGTTTTTTTTTGTTTTAAACAGCTAAATATTTAAAAAAATTTAGCTTGTTTAAAACTGTTTTGTAGGTATGTTTGTTCTGTTTTCTTTATTTTAGAAAATAAAGTGTAGAAAAGACAAGATTATTCTATTCAAAGATTATCAAAATTAAATAAATTAGTTTTTTTTTGTATTATCTAGTTAAATAGATACAATAATTTATATTCAAAAGAAATATTAAATCTAAATTAGATTTTTCATCAATTAATATAAAAAAAACAAAAATAGAACTCGATCATCTTTTTAAACTTGCTTGCTAGAGATGCAGCAAAATCAATTAACAATACAAAATAGTATTAGTATTGTTATGTCTCAGTTGCTGACAATGATATAATAATATTAGAGGATTTTAATAAAAATTGACAATATAGATTTATTAGAATTATTCTGCTGACAAATTTTATTTTCTTTTGTATGTCGTCATATATCATACTGATCAAAATGACTTCATCTAGTTGTAATATACTTAAATTGATCAATATATTAATTTGTATTCTGTCTTATATTCCTGCAGAAATATTTCAACAATACTGAGTGCTAATAGATGGAGCTAAGAAAAAAAAATGAAAGGTTTTGATTTCGAATAGTTTTCAATCCTGTGTAAAAAAATATTCCAGAATGAAAGATTAATATGATTTGAAATTTTCAGGCTATTTATCTAGACATTTACAGTTTAAATATACATATAAATCATTTTGAATTCTTGATACATTCATTTTTTATTTTTCTTTAGTTGTAATAGAATGTTTTCCAAATCGAAAAGATTTGTATCTAGATTTCTGTAAGTTCTATTACAAAAACAATCAAGCAAATTTAAAAATAAAACAAAAAAAAAATTTTTCTCTATACAATGCATTTAAATAAAACACGAAATAAAAAGAAATATTGAACTAGTTACTAGGCAAACTTTTTAAATATTTCTTTCATTGAAGACAACTTAAGAAGGAATATACAAGTCATTTTGATGCCATATTTTGACTATAAGTTGATCTCAATGAGCTATATAAAAGCTGAAAAAGATTCATTCATTATCAAGATATTCAAGTTTACCCATTGAACTCAATTAAATCATATTTTGAAATTTAACTCTCAAATTATACTCATATCAAAGCTTTCGTTTGGCATGACTATATACAAAATTTCAGAATTCTATGCTTTGAAACATGTATAATAAGCAATAAGAAATTTCGTACACAAACTAATCTAGCTAATATCTTGAAATAGAGATTTGAGCAGAGTTAGATTCAATCCATTTTTGTTTTATATTATATAACCTGATGGAATTTTTCTAGGTTTTTTTAAATTAAATTTATAATCTCTTCACGTGAAAAGATCTCGATAGCCATATCTTTGTATATCTTGGATACATACAAAAATTTAATGAATTTTAATTTTTTCAAATCTAACACATCTATTTATTCGTTCACAATACTTTCAAGATGAGATATGATTTGTAATATTACACTAATCTCTCAATTGCATAATATCTTTGACTATGTAAGCTATTGCTAATTTACAAGAAGAAAAATTTTCGAATTTAAAAAAACAAAAATTTTAACTCTACAGATTTCTATTTTGAAATGAGAAAAACTTCATTATTGTTTGAAGGAATGAGTTTTCTTTTCATATATTTAATTGAGATTTATTTATAACATCAAAATGTTTTGAACATTTGTCTATGTTTTATAATATAACAAAAACTTATTATATACGATAATAAAGCAAACTATAGAACTTGATTTTACAAATTATTCAAATAAAATCTTCTAAGTCTAAAGATTCTAAGATAATATTTGATTTTGTCTGATGAATAACAAAAAAAACAAAATATCGATTATATATCATTATTGACATGAAATTGATATGTTAAACAGGTCTTTTTCTTTTTCTTGTATTACTAATAATAGTTATTTTGCATATCAAATTTTAATCCTACGACTAAGATTTATTGTAATATCTTTGCTATATTACTTATATGCAAATATGAATTAAAGTTGATATTGACAAAATATAATATATATATATATGGAAAAAAAAAAGAAAAACTAAAACAAATTTTCAATTATTTGGTTTTATTTTCAACAAAATTCTCATTTTACACTTCTTATTAAAAGAGTTTTATCGAAACAAAGAACTACATATCAAATTATTATAATAAGTGATGAATAGACAAGAAAGAATGTTTGTCTAGCTAGTTGGCACACATTGAATGCATGATTATCATGGCAAACTATGATTGGTTGTATATGAAATTTTTTTTTTCTACCGTCATCTATCATTATATCTTTTAAGTCTTGTTTGTGTCTGTCTTATTTAGTTGCTAAGCAATGACGCTGCCTTATACAATATATATTGTTCTCCGTCCGATGTTCGTTCTCTTTGTTCGAGTGACTAATCACAATGTTCGCCTTTTTCTGTATACGTCTAGCACTTTTGACTCGCTGTTACTGCCGATCTAAGCGCGTCCGAGAGAGAGGCAGATAAAGAGAGAGAGAAAGCGAAAGAGAAACAAATAAATAGTTTTAGTCTATCTTTATGCTCACATATACGCATCCTTATCCTAAGCCTGACGTATTCTGGGAACGGGTAAATCGATGTCGATCTTGCTCACTTATATCACCGGTTCTTTCTTCTCATAAGAAACAAAAAACGATATATATATATATATAAATATATATACATTTTGTTTTAGATCTATCCTTTCAAACAATTAGCTTTCATCAAGCCAAATTAAATTAAATAAAAAAAAACAAAAATGTCGAACAAAGATGAAGAAGTACAACGCGCTAAATTAGCCGAACAAGCTGAACGGTATGAAATCAATACATAAAAACAAAGAAAACTTACACATTTATATTTTAATATTATTTTAGTTATGATGATATGGCAAGTGCAATGAAAAAGGTTACTGAATCAAATAATGAATTAACAAATGAAGAACGTAATTTACTTTCGGTTGCCTATAAAAATGTTGTTGGTGCACGTCGTTCATCATGGCGTGTAATATCAAGTATTGAACAAAAAACGGAAGGTTCAGAACGTAAACAACATATGGCAAAAGAATATCGTGAAAAAATTGAAAAGGAATTAAAAGATATTTGTCAAGAAGTTTTGGTAAATAATTAAAAAAAAACAAATATGAAAAATTTATTTTGATTTTCTTTTTTTTTTGTTCTCTCATTAGACATTACTTGATAAATTTCTTATTCCAAAAGCAACAACAGCTGAATCAAAAGTTTTTTATTTAAAAATGAAAGGAGATTATTATCGTTATTTAGCTGAAGTTGCTACTGGCGATGAACGAACAAGTAAATTATACAAAATAAAAACAAATGAGCCAAAAAAAAAATATGAATTTTAATTTTTTTTTAGAAGTTATTGATGAATCACAACGTGCATATAATGATGCATTTGATATTGCTAAAGGTCAAATGCAACCAACACATCCAATTCGTCTTGGTCTTGCTTTGAACTTTTCCGTTTTCTATTATGAAATTCTTAATGCACCTGATCGTGCTTGTCATTTGGCTAAACAAGTAAGCAATACAAAAAAAAATTCTTATGTTTATATTTTTATATATTTAGGCTTTTGATGATGCTATTGCTGAACTTGATACACTCAATGAAGATTCATATAAGGATAGTACACTTATCATGCAATTACTTCGAGACAATCTCACATTATGGACCAGCGATGCTCCTGATGCCGATGAAACAAATCCACCTGAAGAACATCAATAATTGTTTCGTTTAGTTTTCTTCCCTTCTTTTTTTTTTTTTTTTCTTGTCTGTGTACAACACACACACACAGATATACACGCATACAACCGGTCACCAACCAAATTGACAAAACAATAAAAAAAAAAAAAAAAAAAACAACATCATACAAACTTTTTTTTTTCTTCCTTTCTCTTGACTCTTTTTCTCTCTATTAACTGCGCTTCTTTATATTTTTATTTGTTCGTCGATGTCAACTTTCCTTATTTCTTTTTGTCTATCTCTATCTATCTATCTATTTCTCTCTCTCTCTCTCTCACTCTGTGTGTGTGTTGGTTGTAATCGCTTTTTTTTGTCTCATTAGCTGTTTGTTCATTATTCTTCTTCTTCAACTGTTTGTTTCATGCTCTTTTTTTTTCTGGTCTATCATCCATGTGTTGTCGGCATTGTATGTCTTGTGTAGAAAATGAAGAAAAAACTTGCATACATTTTTAAAAAAAAAAGTTGGAAAAGCAAACCATATGCACACACAATAAACTTTTTTTTTTTTTTTTCTTAAAAACAAATATTCTTATGACGTATAATAATATATATAAAGATTTATTAATATAAAAATCATTGGGAAAAAAAAGAAAATTGACTTTAGTTGTTTTGTGCATGTTATTAATAAAAATCAGCACTAATATCTATGACTTTTCTTTCATTTGAAGGGCGTTAGGTGTAAGACTACTTGTCTTTCAAGAGTTTATCTTTTGAATGCAAATAATATTAATTTTCAAATGTTTTTATCGATAAGAAAGCGAAAAAACAAAAGGAAAAATTCATTATATAGTCTATTCTTTGACCTTATATCATTTAAAATAATGTGACAAGTTTATTTGGAAAACAATAAAGGCAACAACAACATTTTCGGAATTACAAAAAAAAGAAATCAAGCTAAAGACGTTGTTTGTTGATCGATTGTAATTGGTTTTCTCCAATTTCGATAACTGAAACAAAAAAAAAACGAGTATTTTAAATTTATATAAATTTTGATATTTTCACTTACAAATGTTCATTTGCATTACGCATATGTACTGGTATTGAATATGGTGTTTGTTTCATAGCTGAAATAAAATGATGTTTATGAATAATAATTGATTGTTTAGTTTGATATTCATCAAATGCAGCTAATTGTGCATTATAAGTAAGTGCTTTTATATCAGCACCTGTATACATTTCACAATGTGATAAAATTGTTTCATCATCAAATTTTATATCATCAGATAAATGAATTTTTTTTGTCCATATTTTTAATATTGAAATTATATCAGATTTTGTTGGAAAACCTATATATAAATGTTTATCTAAACGACCAGGACGTAATAAAGCTGGATCGATTAAATCGGGACGTGATGTTGCAGCAATAACAACAATATCTAAGAAATTTTATGCAAATATTTAAAATAGAAAAAAAGAAACGAATTTTCAAACTTTTTATTTTTTTTTTTACCTCCAAGACTTTCAACACCATCTAATTCTGTTAATAATTGATTAACAACTCGATCTGTAACACCAGCAGAATCTCGACCACGTCTAATATTAAAATACAATATTTTTATTTGTAAAAATCTTATTTTTAATTTTACCGTGGTACAAGTGCTTCAAATTCATCAAATAGAATAATACAAGGTGTTACTGATCGTGCTCGATTAAATAAATCTCGTATATTTTGTTCACTTGAACCAACATATTTATTTAATAATTCTGGACCCTATGGAAATAATAAAAGTCTTTATCTTTGAAATAATAATAGAAAATATTTACTTTAACTTGTAAAAAATTCACTTTACATTCATTTGCTAATGCTTGAGCGAGAAGTGTTTTACCACAACCAGATGGACCATAAAGTAGTACACCCGATATTAATCGAATAGGTGCATTTGAAAAATAATTTGAATGCTAAATAATTATTATGAAAAATATTTTAATGAGTTATGCAAAAGTTTTGTTGACAAAATTTTATGTTCTTTTCGAATATATATGTTCGAAATCATAAATGTATCATTGTAGAACCCGAAAATCAAGTCTGACCGGTAGTAGTTGAATTAAAAAAACCTTGTTTAGGAAGAAAATCACTCAGCTGATAAATTACCTGTGAGTCGAGACTATGTGTACCATTTCCGGTATTCTTTAAATGAATGCTGTGGATTCTCTGAAGTAAAACTCATCGAGTTTACTAATGGGTCTTATCTTAAGGAACATTAGAAAAGTTGGTTTTTCGAATTTCGACTTGAAACTTTGAATAGAGTTAGGTGATAACGAAACTAGTGTTTTATGAATGTTATGGATCCTGTCACCGCTCCTATCCTAAGATATAACTATAATAAATGTGTGTCTTTGACATCGCTCATATAAATTGACGAATTTTATGCTCGTATTTCAGAATGAAATCTTTTTTACCCACGGTATTCATTTGAACAATACCGTAAAAATGTAGCATCTTCGCTTTGGACAATACGTGTTGTTCACAGTTATAATGCCTTTATTGAATACTTCCTATTAGCAATTTTGTTGAATAGTGAAAAGAGCAATACAATCCTATAAAAAGTGATCTAAGAGCTGAAAGTCTCAGAATAATCCTTCGAAAATAATCGAGTTAGTTGTTTAAGTCTGAAAATTAAAGAGTTTCAGAACTGTTCTCGCTCATTTTACAAGTCAGTCTTCCATAGAAATCGAGGCAACGGACATAGTTTCTCTTATCAAGATACTCATTATTGACAAATGATCTGCAGCAAATTCATCATTATATATATCACTTTATCGACAAATATTTGCTCTTTCATTCACTGTATTTAACACTATTTGTGCTTCTATTTTGGTTAAGTGTTAGTGAATTGAAGTTTGTTCAAATTCAATTTAGGAGCATCGAAAAAGTCGATTCGTAACTCTCGAACCAGAGACGATATTCGGAAAGAACACAAAAGTTTGGTTCTAACTCAATGCTTTGAATTTTCTGGTGACTTCGATCGAAAAATGAAGAAACCTTTACTTGAAAGCGCCATTGAACTGTTTGAATAAGTTCTTGTTTAAGATCATCCATTCCACCTATATCGGACCAATGTATTATAGTTCGACTAGGTTTTTTTGTATCATCATCAAGTAATTTAACATTGATTGGTTTAAATTCATCAAATGCATAATCAAAATCAATATTTGATAACTGTCGATCTTCTAAAAATTTTATCTTGTTTAAAATAAAATTTATTGAACTTTTCATGTATTTGAGAAAAAAACAGTTTGCATAGGAAAAACTATTAATATCAAGATTATTTTCTAAAAGTCAATTCAACGTGTTGTTACAAAAATCATGTTTAGATTGAATAATTAGAAATAAATATCAAACAAAAACAACGAAATTCATTTTAGTAAACAATTTCAATTCTTCGCATCTTTCACCATTTCGCAAGAAGTGTACTACAAGTTCGATTATTGCTTATGACAAAAAGCGTTGGTTTCTTTTAGTCTATTCTAAAATTTGCTAATTTTAGAAGAAACAAATATATCTGTAACTATTTTTGACCATTTCTATGTTCGGATACCTAATAGAATATGTCAGTCCTATGTAGTATACTCAAATCTACCGAACTGCTTGTCGATGTTTTTCCACGTTTTCAGTCCATACATGGATACAATTCTATTATCACTATGGCGAATGTTTGCTACTTCGATTGCATGATTCATATTACAGTCATAAATAAATACATTCCTCGTTCTAGAATACAAGACCATGACGTTCTATTATAGAAATTAGCGTCGCATCGTCACAGATGGCCTTCTATTCCAGACTGGCTTGTTGCCAAGTTCTATCTTGATAAGCAAAGATGTTTGAAAAGAAAGAATTTTCTGACATTCAAACTGGTGGTGTTAACAACCAAGTGCTAGAAAAATATTTTTCTGCTAAAAAAATACTTTTTATTGCAAAGAACGAAAATTTATTAATCTTCTGTATATTACGGGTTTGTTAATCGAGACAGCAAGTGACTTTGAAAAATTTCAATTTAAAACTATAGATTGAGAACTTCGAATACAAAGATTGCGTAGCTGATCTAATTGACATCTCGACTGTCTACCTGCACTTCAGATCAGGCGATTCTCGATAGAATTTGATCCCATCTAACCGTAGAAAAATACGAATTCTAACGTTCATATTACTGTAATTAATGCATGCTGTATTTCTTGGTTGCTTTTTCAACAACAAAAAAAGTAAGGGTTCTTTTGTTTGAGAATTAATTCATGTCTTACCAAAACTCATCCATGAATGTAATAAAGCATTATCAATTAATGTATATAAATCTTTAATAACAAATGATTCTGTTCGATTAACAATAGAATGTAAAAGTGATTCGGATATTGTTTGTTTTTTATTTTCGATTACTTGTTTAATAATAGATGTTCGTTGTGTCTAATATATAGCAAAAAAAAGAAAGAAAATATTTAATTTATCGTTATTTTAAATTCTTTTACCACATTCAATGATTCAATAGCTAATATTTGTGAACAGAATAATGGTGTTTCTTCCGTAAATTGTCGATGAATATTTGTTATTTGTTTAGCAATTGGAATAATAATAAACTGTTTATGAATTTGTTGTATACGATTAAATAATTCACGTATAGCTATATGTATATATATATATATGCAAATAGTTTTTTTTTTAAATTAAAATAAATTTATTTGACTTACAAAGAGATAATTTTTGCGTAGCTAAAATAATATTTGCATCTGTAATCGTTGTTTCATTAGGAAATAGATCATCAAAATGATCAAGAATTAATATTGATGGTTGACGAAATACTAATTCATCAATTATTTGAGAAATTGAAATTACAATATTATCAAGTTTTCTTCCTATTTGAAAATAAAAGATTTTAAAAAAAACTTATTAAAATAATGTTGTTTTGTTTTTACTTCGTACCTTTAAAACTTAGACAATCAACAAATTTATTATAGATTAAATGTTTATTCCATAATCGTTGACAACATTCTCCAACAACTGTTTTCTTTCCACTACCACTTCGACCTGTAATTATCACATTTTTTAATAAATAATCATTCCACGAAGATTTTTTTAGATCAATTTGTAATTGTAATTCAAGAATTTGTAAAAGACGATCGACAGTATTTGTTAATGCTCTATAACAAAAAAAAAGAGGATTGTGACATATACTTGAAAGATATTTAAATAAATCCATAAGTATTTACTATAGCTCATTGGTTCCGAAAGAAATTAATAGATGAGTCATAATGAATAGGACTAAATGTAATTGAAATTTTCCTCTCATGTAAATGCATAGTACTGTCTGTGCATGATTGTTGAGTTAAACAACACTTCTCTGTTCAAGTCAATTTATAAAAAACAATAGTAATTTTCATGCAATACTTTTATTTAGTGTACATTTACGTCCGGCAAAAATATTCAGTGCTGAACATTAACTTAAATAAAAGAATGATGAAGATATATGGCCCAAAACAGATAGAATAGAACAAGCTGTAGCTCATATTTAATAAATAAGACTCACTAGGTTATTAATCAATCATAATTGAACGATTTCTATCATCGGATATTTTGTCAAGATGTAGTACTTTTTCTTCATTCGAATAGATATTTCATGTATCTTTTAATAGTCATAATCAAATTTGTTTTTTACAAGCATTACAAGAGTAGGAAGTGTGAAAGAAAAAATAATGGAAGTATGAAGTAATGGATATACATAAAACAAAAAGCACAGTTATTAATAATAAATTGTTGATTCTCTTTGCTGTAGACTAACTTACAGTCGTTTATTTCTTTTAATTTATATATATACACTTTACTCTTTTGACGTATAACAATAAAATATTGATGAGAATACAAAATTTAGGATATTGATTCCGAGCTCGGTACAAGCCAAGAGATTAAGCGAACAGCTTCTTTTTCCTATAATTACTTGAGATAAGGCACAACTTTGTACGATCAACATTTCGCTAGTTTAAATCAAAACTTTCCGCTGTAAAACCTTAATGGAGATTTGTCGTACAGATCGACACTGGTTTTTTTCTACTAGTCTCATCTATGTGTGAACTGATTCTTCGAAAGATGTTTCTATAATTGATATGATAATTTAAAACCAAAAAAGAAGAATATCTTACAATGAGGGTTCTTGCTGATTAATAAAATCTTCAATAATAGGTGTTGAACGAAATGTTTCAATTTCATTAAAATTCCATTCTTTTTTCTCATCAACAGCAATTGTATGTTGTCCAATTGTTTCTTCATTAATTGCTATATAAATAGGACTATCATTTATTATTGGTTCATCTTGACTACTCAAATGAATATTGTAACAAACTAAAAAAAACAACAACAAAAAACAAAATTTCATTAAAAATGAAACAAATAAGGACAACAACAACAAACTATTATCAAATTTAATAAAACATCCATCCGTAATTAAAATAGGTTGATCATTATTTAAATATTTTCGAATCCAACTATGAAAATAATGTTGTAATAAAAGTGTTGGTTCATGCCATTGATTAGATATAAATTCAATTTTTGTTTGATTTCTTGGTCGTCGTGTTGTATTACAAACAATTAATTTATCTGTTGAACGAATACAATTCATCGAAGCAAATATAGGATTTAATTTAATATGTTTTCGTCGACAAATATTATCATTTGTTAATTGTATTAAAAGAAAATAAATTTTTGATATATGTTCAGGTAATGTGGATGTTGTTGAATCTAATGTTAATGATTTAATCTAAATTAATTTCAATTAATAAGAATATATAAGATCGGTCTTACCTCTTTACTTGATCGATAGACAGTTACTTTCGCAACGAATATATCTGGCCAGCCAGTACCATCATCATCATTTGATGACCAATCAGAACGATTAATACGTGCTATAGTTGGATTTATTGATGTTGTTTCATCAATTTCAACACGATAGATTCGTCGATGACGACCAGGTACTAAAGCAAGTTTGGATTTTGATTGTAAATCAATAATCTTTTTTTCGGATTCATTAAAAATTTTCAGTGGAGAATTCGGTAATGATGAATAGACAAATGTACCAATTGATCGAACAAAATTTTTTAATGATAGAGAATCTTTAATGTCAATATTTGCAGGTAAAGATGATGTTGGATCTGGTTGAATCATTGATTGTTCTCGAAATTCAGGTATAACTGTTACACGAGTTGATGAACTAATCACAGAAAAAGGAATATTATCACAAGGTTCAATTTGTACTGCAACAACCAAACAAAAAAAAAGATAGAAAGTTCATATATGTTATAAAAATAAACATACCAACACGAAGAAGAATACATAAACCGGATATCCATATTGGAAAAATCATATGTAAAGAAAGTATTCGGATTTGATTAAGAAATACTTCTTCTGTTATTTCTGTATTATTTTGCTATAAAACATAAGGTAAATGATATCTTTTGAATCTAAGCATTTTTCTTTAAATCTTTGAATTATTGATTAAAATATGAAAAACGATTTACTTACTCTTGCTAAGTACAGAGAGACAGTTTTATCGGATCTCATTTTTTCACTAACCATCTTAGGAAAATGCAATAATGAACTAGTTCATATGTTATACAGAGGCGTTATTGATGTACAATCTGTGGAGAGCTATAGAAATTTTTACACTTATTCTTCAACACGCATTTTAGATCGTATTTCATAAAAGCTTTCTTAGACACCACACCCAGAAGTTTTTAGCTCTAGAAGACTTTTAAGAGTATCATCTTAAAAAGTACAAAATTCTGGATGAAATGAGAGGATTGCCACATTTCCTATAATCTTCTCTTAAAAAGTTATCAACAGCACAAAAAATGAAATCTGTTTAATATGAATCTTTAAAAAAAAACCATTCTTTCTATGTGAATCTTAAATGCTTTTCATAATAGATATCTTTCTATAATGTATAAAATTTTCTTTCAACTCACCAAAATTTCCCAATCATCAACAGATACTGGACAAAATGTTACACTACGACATTCGATTGATTCATTCTGTTCATCAATTTCATACTATTAAACAAAAAACCATAATTAAAATAAAATAATCAAATTTTTTAAAGAACTTAACGCACAAATCGATCTTTTTGAACATTAATTTTCATTGCAAAAAATCCATTTAATGAAAATTGTCCTTCATTTAATGTATAATCCGCTAATGTTGACAAATAAAGATATTGATCATCTCCCAAATTTAATCTTACTGTTGAAACCTATATATATACATAATGGTATATTCCTTTTCGAAGTAAACAAAAAATTTCGTTTTACTTTAAATTCCAATGCATGTCGAACATTGTTATTGAATGTACGTGGATTAATACCAAGAAAACAATTTCGATTTTTCGAATGAACACATCGTAGAATATGCGATGGCATATCTACATAAGATCGAATGAATATTAAAGAGATATCTGTAGAAGAAAATTTAAAATTTAGTATATCTATAACTAACAAACAAATAAATGCTCATTCAAACATATAACAACATAGTTTTTCAATACAATATTGTTTAAAATAATGAATATTCATTAAATATTCGTGTTGATGCATTACGATGAAAACAAAATAAAAATCATCTGAAATTAATTTTGAAAAACATGAAACAAACAATCATCTATGTCTGTAATGATGTTGTAGAAGGTTTAGCTTTTTTATGATCTTCAAAACTGAGCCTTAACATGGAGATAGAGAAGTTATACTTGATATTGAAAAATTATGTTCTCGAAACTGGAATAATGCGATATGAGAAGTAATTTTCTTTGAAAGATCAAGGTATGTCAGCATCGAAATGATTCGATGATTTCTATTTACGTAAAATTAATAAAGATATCTTTTAATCAACAATTTCGTTTTTTCGCTTGCAGAATGATCTAAAACCTTAATGATTGGATTCGCTTATCTCTCCAGTACAATCAATTTTTAACGACATTTGTGAGGGCGCTAGTACTCACTATGAATGAAAAGATCTTTTCTTCATGAAGACAGCTTCGTTTTGTATAGAAAACTTTAAACAAAATTCGTATATGAGTGCACATATCAGAAATTATTAGAAACCAGTACAAATCAATATATTGTATGTTTAGTATTAGATTTTTGGTAGTTTTCAATTTATTCAGCTGAAGAAATCTACTATTAAATGTAATTAATTGAACTCTTTGTGTTTAACTTAAATATGAGCATGATGGTTCTGGCCTCGTCAAGAGCGGAACAAAGTTTTTCTCTGGCCAGAATCGGGATCCAAATGAATTGGTCCAACTCACGTTTAGTTGCATTATTTATTGTCTGTCTCGATATCGTTTATTTATTAATTATCGTACGTTATATCATTCGTATTTTTTCTTCAATTATTATTATTATCATTTAGTAAGAGTGGTTTACTACACTCTTTTTTAATTTCTATTCGCATCTGTATTGTTTTAATAGAATACTATTTGAAATATCAATATCAGCTAGTTCATTAAATGCATTGAAAATGTTCTTCCGCAAAAACAGTTTTTCTTTTCGTAATGGTAATCGTGTCTTTTTTCTCTTCTCGCTATACTTACTGTAATAAAGCAATCGATATCAGTATGTAAAAACTTATAAAGAACGTGATAGGCAAGTCAAAACTACAAAAAAATAACCATCTTTGGATCTTTGACTCGTACAGATACAAATAATTGATGCAGTTGAACGTGTCGCACTTACACGTTTTCGCTTGTTTGTTTTTGAATAACTCTTCGTTTAATCATTGTTCAAGAGAGAACTGAATCTCAACAAATTTTCAACGATATTTCGAATTCTTACATATGTGTATAATCATTACGAGTGTTGTATTAGAATTGGGTGTGGATAGATGTGAATATGGTTGAACAGATAGTCAATCTGAGCGACTACAGTAATATAAATGTTTTTCTTTGACACTACTCATATTGTATTCAAGCTACATGAATAAATGAAAAATGCGTTCTGATGTACAATCGGTGATCTTTCAAAACTCCTTTCATAGAAAGACAATGTATCAATTTGAAGCATGAAAAATAGTCATAAAAGAATCTAGAAAATGATAGAAGTTATCGAGATTATTGTGCTTATTCATTACATTTCAAAAGCGTTTATTACATAAATGGAAGAGACAGATATAAAACATGATTTTATAGAAAAAATACAGAAAACTATCACATAAGAGTGTTTTCAGGAAAATGCCTCTATAAAATTGATTTAAAAATGCCTAAATGATCTCGTTTTGATATGTAAAGAACATGTATATTACTCAAAATTCAACAATTCTTTTACTCCTCGAATCCGTAAATCCATACAGATTCGTTTATATCAAGGATTTCTCGGACTACTTTTTGACTCTTTGTATAGTTTGTTGAAGCACTACTGTGCTTGCCCAAGTACAAGTAGCTCAGTGTCATATTCTTGCTTAGTGATTCACAAAAGCGCAGTATACCATCATCTCCTATTTGATTATATTCGATTTTTAGAGATCTTCAATTTTTGTTTACGCTTAGTGCAGCTGCTATGGCTGCTGCTCCATCATACATGATTTCATTATCATTAACATAAAGTTCTTCCAAGCTCCTGTTGGTTTCAAACACTTTCCTATTTCTATAGCTCCTTTAGCTATTAGTTTATTGCTCGAATAGATTAGTGCCCTTCGACAAGTGTTCAACTCAAGCATTTCAGCCGGCTCTCTAATCAGCTCATCGTTCGCACTATCTACTATCCGATCGAGATAAAGTATTTTTAATGTTTTGTTCTGCTTCAGATCTCGAATTAAAGCACCTATGATATTATGCGATAAGCTGCAACCTTGAAGTGATAGACTCATAAGACTACTAGAGATTACCATAGAACCTGTGTCACATAGCTGACCAGAATCAACTGTTTGAAAATTTCCTAACTGAAGTATTTCAAGAGTTTGGCTATTTTCAATCGAACGACAAAGTTCATTCACACTAATATATTCAAAAATTAATTCAACCGATGGCGTAACGAATAATTGTTGTAAGGATGTATTTTCAAGAAAATTTTCAAAGAGATATATTGCGTCGCCTGCTCCAATACTTGCTTGTGCCAGCTTCAGTAGTCGTAATGTTCGATTGTTTCGTAGCGCGCATGCAATATGCATACTTCCATCATTTGAGATAAATTTATTATCGCTCAAATCAAGTTTGATAAGATGTTTATTTTGAGCCAGCATTCGCGCAATCTGTTGTAGTTGACTATTGTTCAATTTGCATTTGTTTAATCTCAATATTTCTAATGTGACATTGTCAACGAGTACTTGACTCACCAACGGTATTAATGCTGTTTGTTCAATATCGAAAAAGCCCAATTCGAGTATACGTAAACAAGTGCTATGCAATAAGAGCTCTTTTAAATTGTTTACAAGCTGTTCATCGATTTTGATCCATAACAAAGTTAGCTGAATAAGAGATGGATTTAACAACAGATCTTCGGTCAGTTCTTTACTTAAATAAGCTGTTTCGAAATGTGTAATAGTCTTTCTTTGATTAACAGTTTTCGTAAGATAGACTCGGTCTGATTCCATAAATTTATTCAAATCGACTTTCTTTCCATCATCTAATGTATAAATATTGAGTATTAATTTTGAATTCGTCTGTTTCATGGAGTAATTGAATAAAGCTCTATCGATAGCAATAGAATTAGTAGTACCCGACGGGCATTTAACAGTATAAATAATCGTAGTGTGTAGACAAGGTTGAACGACTCTTTCAAGTTTATGTATTACTTTCATATGTTTTTTTTTAACACCAATAGAATTACACACAGAAGTCCTGTCAAATTCAATGTACTGGATTCGTGACTGATCGTTAACATTTGTAAGTAAATAATCAAATGAGATTTTACTTAAGTAACATTTAATCAATTTCAATCTAAATAAATTCAAACCTCGACCAATGACATAGAATAATTGATCAATATTCTTTTCATCTTTCGTAACAATTGTCGCTGTATCAAGGCACATGCTTCCGCCTAGGCTACGAAATTCTCTGCAAAGGCTTTTCAATTTTTCATCATTATAAAGTTGTCGATAATGTTTAACACATACCCAGCGAACGATACCATTAGACGATATTGTTCGATATAAATTACCCAATGTACGATATTTATCGGACTTTTCCAAAAAGTATTCAATTTCTCTCAATTCGACACCTTCCAAATGTTCATCATAATGATTTTCTTTCAAATCTATTTCCATAACTTTCTCCAATGCAACAGTCATTTTGTCAAGTCTGTCGTCCAAATTATTAAGAAATTTTCATTTTGAAATACACCAGGTATATTCGAACGAGGAATTGTTTGTGATATTTGTGGTACAAAAATGCCACTTACTTTGATAGCATATTTACAAACAATTAATATATTTTTTTGGATGGGTTCCATACTTTCGCATAAACTCAACTGGTCGTTTGACTTTGTATCCTTCATGAAATGCCAAGTGACGTTCGTTTTCCTTTTCACATTCACATAAGAAAAAGACGATAGGAATCTCGAAACAGATTCATAGGATTAAATTTCTTTTGTTCATCAGGTAAAATGATGAAAAGACATGGAACATTATATTCGGCTAATTCAAATGCTTGTCGAAGAATACTATTCACCTTTTGTATAAGTGTTTCGGTATTATCAAGTATTTCCTTTGTGGTCAAATCAATACGTTGTAGAATATCAAGCCCACTACAGTCATCATACTCGATAGCTTGATTGATAATGGCTCGAATTCGTAAAGGTACAACAAATTTTTGCTCTTCGTCACGTTGCAAACTGATTGGAGAACCGTTGATAGTAAAAGAGGAAATAGGGCATGCAAATATTTCTTGAATATCAGTCAAACAGATGAATGCTTCATTATCTATATATTTAACTGGTACATCTTTTTTTCGGGGTTCTTCAGACGAAAGTGGTGATAGGTTTGCAGTGACATCATTTCAAAACTAGGATCGTATTAATTGAGAGTATCTATTATAAATTCGAATCTCTTCAACTAAAGGTCAATATAAGTTATGATACAAACGTCTGCTGTTACACCAAACAATTAAATTGAATACGAATTGTTCTTTTGCGATACGACGACGAATCAAACGTTGAATTGTCTAATTCTTTTTTCAAAAGTAACTGTGAATTACAAGAAAAAAACCGGCATGAAACATGTTTTGTCTTAATCAAATGCAAATAATCGAATATATGACTTTTTTTAATGTATTCTTTCTACGGTTTCTTTCTCAACGTGGGTATGGATGCGATCTGGGTATGTGTGTGGTTGTGGATGTTGGTGCAGGTATCATTGTATCACATGTCCACACCAACACTCACCGACATCCCTAACTTCGTGGTCTCTATATGAAGTAAAAGCCTATTGCCTTTGGTTTACATGTTTGATTCACTTCTGACAACCGGATTGGACGTAATGTTTGGATGATTTCATGCCGCAGTCATTTTTTCGATAAAAAATAAAAGTGTAGTTCGATAGAGAAAAGTCTTTTCTATCCACTAGTGTCGCTTGCATATTCAACCCGTTAACTTTCTGTAGAGGGCATCATAAATATAGTGTGAATAGAAACTCTTGGCTTTCTCTTTTATGAATACTTTTATGATTTAAATAATTGGCCAAAAAGATTGACCAACGGTGTGTGCCTTTATTACTTTTTTTTTTTCTTCATATCTAGCCAGTGCGCACAGGCAGATGAATCATCTAATCAATGTTGATATGCACTACAGTGAAGGACATCTAGTTTCAGTAATGCGTCACAAAAAAAATTGTTCCTAAAACGTGATAAACCATGGTACATGTTTACTTATATTTTTGATTTTGACAAAAACTGAGTTTCATCTAGATGAGGACTCTACAATACATGCATAATGGAAAAATTTATTTTACAAATTTTAGTGGAAAAAATATAAATCAAAGATGCCGTTCACGCAATTCTCCTATTTTTACTGTAAATCCCTTGTTTTAGTTTGTCAGAACACGCTAACATGATAAATAATTTTTATCACAAATAAACGTTATATCCTTAAAAAATCCGCTTCTAAAGATAAGTTTCATATCAAGTACATTAGTGAATATTGATTTCAACATTGATTGATGTTTCTCTCATTACTTGTTATCACCAGATCATGCACTAATCGTTCATTTTCGTAGAGCAGATATATGCTGAAAATACTATCACTTTGAACATATTTCAATGTATTTTTTCCTTTTATATTGCATTTTCACTTAACTAATTTTCTTTTCTTTTAGATAGTTGTTGGTTTTTCTATTGATGTACACTTTGAGTTAGATTCTAGACAATTGTTTAGAACGAAATAAGTATGTTACATCTTTCATATTTTGCATTTGTTCATTATTTTCTTTCCTTTAAGTAAATAAAACTTCTCGTAGTTTTTATATAAGCCTTTGTTTAATTTCGTTTTAAAAACACATTGAACATAATTAAGTGAGTTTTATTTATTGAATTAATTTTTTAAAATTATTTTCTTGTCGATACTTATTTGATTTATCATGAGAGCATTTTATTATAACTCTTCAAGCTTCATACAACTAAAGACTAGCAAGTTGCGTAGTATATGCTGTTTCATTGTCTTCGTTTTTTATTTAGATAAATTATATTTTTTATGCTACTATTTCTTATGGACTATTGAAATATACTTATTAGAACAAGTATGTTTAATTTAACGTTTGAAGAGACTTTATTAAATAAGAGATGTTAACGTAAGAAGAAGAAAAGAAAAATTTTAAACATAACATCCAGATAACAGTACAAGATTTGCAATAAGGGTGTAAGAGAAAATATAGAGATCCATTTAATAAAACTAATTTCAGAGGCTTTTTTACAAAAAATATCATCAAGAACGAAACAGTCCATTTGCTTCATCTCTTGCACTTCGAACGCTGTAGCTGTTGTGCATAATTTTTAACTGAATACGTTGTGTAAACAAATGTGTAGTTTTTTCTCTCATATAAAACTCATCTAATCTTTCCAACAGTCGGCAGTGCAGAAAAATATTCTATATGAACATTTATAACCGAATTATATGAATATTTTTACCCATTTATTGTGAAAACTTTTACTGTTTACAGCAGCTTAAAGGATAGTTTCGTCATGTTTGAAATGGCAAACTCTATTTATTCATCGGTGATCACTCGCTCGCCGATCATCAAGTCGCCCAAGAGGAACATCTGAAAGAACCGTATATAATAGTGATCCATCTTGAGAATGGTCATTAACGCAAACCCATAACTTGCATTTGCGAGGCAACGTCAATGAAGAATTCTTCAGATTTCGAGTTTTATTTCCTTTACTATAATACTCACGCACACCCTTTTTATTCATTTCACAATTAGGTGTTTCAAATGGTTACCCTTTGTCTTTCGTACAAAACATAATACGAACTAACCTTGAAAGAATCAACTTAATTGTTCGTCTAGTCCTTCTTTGACTAAAACTGACTTCACTCCAGAAACAACAAGAAAGACTCGAATAAGCAAGATATAATGAAGAAAGAAGTTCATCTCATAAACTTTTTATACGTTGGTCACCAAACTACATCTTATGAAAAAAAATTGCTTGACCTTGTGAAATCAATCTGCTCACAAGTTCATATAACGCTGATACCACGTCCATTTCCTTCAATTCAAACAGTTTTTCCACGCAAAGATCCTCTAGCAAAAGAATTTATATTCCATGTTGTCCATAATATTAACTGTAAAGATTGTTCAGCATCCTACATTGGAAAAACTTTTCGTCAAACAGAGAGAGACAGTTTACTGGACATGGTCAACCGAAAGTTATTTTCCTTAATTCTAAACCGTGCACTACTTCTCCTAATCAACAAACTCAGTCATTTTTAACTGTGTTGGTCTCTGTCAGATGTTCTACTTGATTGAAAATTATTGTTAACTATGCTCTTTACGATAAGCTGTTAAAAAGTACTATTAACGAAGAATCCACAAGCACAACAGCATCTCCTGCCATAAAGTCTGCTATTCATCAACATGAGCTAGCAACAGGATACACCGCAGACTGGCGAGGCTGAGAAATTATAGTAAAGGTAACAAACGATCTCGCCTATTCATCCGTGAATCTTTAGCTATTCTTAAGTATAAACCAACTCTCAACAAGATTATTCGCTCCACTCCACTGATCATATATCCAGAAGGTGAAGCAGCATTCAAGCCTAAAGTGAAAATGAAAATATTCCACGAAGCAGGACAATAACAGAAGATGACCAAAGCTTTATTTGTTTTTCTAAACGTTTAGAGAAACAAATTTAATAATATTATAGAGGTCTTTACTATCGTAAAATGTTCTTATTTTATTGCTGTAATGAATCCATTGTCTATACAGAGTATACATTTCTTTCTTTGTCTGTTAGTCTGATGTATCTTAGCTCAGTTCTATTTTTTTCTTGTCTGATGATGCAACTCAATGTTGCGAAAAGTATGTCACTCATTTAATAAATAAATACATTCGATTTCAAATGAATTTTAACTCTTCTGTTAAAACTATATTATTTATCGTAATGTTGTTACACAAAAATCAAAATAATTAAATAAAGATGACTGACGCATAGAGAAGAAGCCTTATTTTAGTTTATTTCAACAATTGTAAATAGCCAATATGCTGATTTCTCTATGAATATTAATGTTTTTGCACGTAGCACACCATGTCATGTCTGATTTCTAAAAAGAAAAGAAACACACAACATTCTAGAACTCATTCAACGCCGAAACGATCAAGATGGTCTACAATCGAGTCATTTGATAATAACAAAACAAATGATCAAGTGGTTCTTAATAAGACAACAGACCAAGGAAATGAATCCTGTACCGTAAGTGAATATGATGAAAATAGTAAATTTAAATGACATCTTATTAAAAGTTAGTACTCTTCTTTATCTATAGATTTCTTGAATCAATTGTCAATTTATGATTCGCATAAACCATTGAACAAATCTAGTCTACTTAAGCCAATAACTACACCATATGATCAAACTGGTAAGTATCTTAAACTAGAAGCGAAACACATATGTTGGTGTTCCAATTTTGATTCAGTGTCATGTTACTAAGAACAATCAACTGTACAATGGTAACTACCAAAACACGTGATTCAGTTGTCAAAAAATTTGACAAACAATCTTCGAGCAACTCTTCCATTGGTACTTCCACCAAATCCACCGATTGTCAATGTTTGTTCGATTGATACACAAATTGTTTTAATTAAACCCACAATAACAACTGCACCAACTGCTTTTAAATATCCCGATGGTCGTATGCATTGAAGACTAGGTAAACATTCAAATTTTGAAGAAGACGAAGCAGTCATATTATTAAAATAGAAAAGAGGAGAAGAAAACACAAACGTCCTACAGGTTAAGTAGAACAGATGTTATGTTTTTCGTTCCTGGTGTTATCAGTTGATATAGTTCATTTAACTCATGATAAGACAAAACAGTGGTGGTATAGGAATTGTTTTTTGAAGGAAAAAGATTTTCTTTTCTTAGTCGTTCTGTTCATTCTCAGTTCATTTTGTGTAGATTCCATATCAGAGTGAATACAAGCATGTTTATTCAGATAAATCAATGCTCTATTTATTCTTTGTTGATTAAAGATTGATTCATTGAATGATACAAACATTAAGAATGATGGTCTTCTATACCTGACAGCATTCACATAGAATAATTAACTGGTTCCTTTCATATTTTAGTAATAATAATTTTATACATAGTTTTGTTTCAGCACAAGATGAAACAAATAATTGTATTGATAAGACAACTAATGTTGAAAAAGAATTAGAGAATGTTTTCAGACATAAGTATTATTACTCGTTTCAAAAATCGAGCATATTTTTGTTACAGCAACCTCCATCGGCAATATACTGAACGATCAAAGAATTGAACTAGTGATCAAGAACTTTTGGTATCCAAAATTATCAAAATCTGAACATAATGCATTCAACAAAGATGTTAGTCGTCTTCGAGTAGTTGTAAAACCGAAGACTAAATTAGTGCATCACGTCTCGATTGGCAAGATCCATGCTTCCATCCGTTATACTCATACAATTAGACGTCAAGTATTGTCTCAAAACCAAAATGTTGATTTTGTGATGAAAGTATTACAGTAGAATGAGATTTTTCACGAAGAAGCGGTAAGAAATCTATTTTACATTCAACGTCTTATTGGCGATCACAAAATTATTTTCCTTTTACCCTTGTTTTCTTCATCGTTGTGACTGTTATTTTTTGATTATTTTAATCGTCAAAAACATTTGACTTGATTGCGGTTTCTGTAATTACCGTTTTATTTCTATATTAGCTAGTTTGTGAGAATATTCTTCATTGAAAAATCAACTATGTTCTTTTGAAGAACTTCAAGATATAGCACGTACGTTTTTGAATGATATTATTGGAAAATATTTAGTTCAACATCAAGACCAGCGAAGTAGATTTGTTCTGTCTAGTGTTTCTATTTTATTGATTCATTTCTCTATGTAGATGAATGAGGCTTATTGTATAGCAATGAAAGTTTTGTGTGACAATTTTGGTGAAACAAAATATGTTTTTAAGATAAACGGTTTCTCTTTTTTATGTACAAAGTTCTTTTATTAATTAAGAATGGCTTAACTGGTCCTCATCCATCTCGGACAGTTTAATTATGCCAACAGCACCAAAAGAATTTGAAAAAACTTTTATGGTCATTAGCAATTTACATTATAAAATGGCTGTGCCTGTTGGAGGTGGTAGTCTTCATAAAATGTTAGCATTTGTTCTAATTACACACATTAATCTAAACAATACGCCCGATCACAAATTGCTTCAAATTCTATTTGAAACCTGTAAACAAAATTTAAACAATAAGATAGTATAATTTGGCCTGTCGATGCAACGGGATACTTCATCGATTAAGTTTTTGAAAATTATATTTTTTGATCTGGACAGATCTGAGTACATGATAAGATGCAGTTTCTTACGCTGATTACGATTTTGAGATTTTCTCTTTAAAAAAGGCTAAATTTTGGCATCAAAAAACCATATTTCGAATTTCTCGACTAGGAAGTTTTTTCAAAAAATGCCCAATACCATACCATTCAATGCAGAATTGAATTCTCTACAAAATGGCTTGTCAGTTTTTTGTTTTCATTGCTAAGGCCAGCTTTTATGTTCTTTTACAGTTTGCAAGTTACTAAATAGTGAATGAGCTTCTGTTTTCATGTAACAACTTGGTTCTTGCTCAGAACAATTATCGGTACAGAAAAGACCAATATGTGTGAAAACCCAATATTTCTGAGCATGTTTAGTGTTCCAAAATCGATCGGCAAAAAACAGCGTAACTGTTTGCACGAGAAATTAGAATTTTATTAGCTGCCCTGAAGAAAAAGGATCTTTTTATGTAACAGCGTTACAGGATGATAAAACCTTTCTAAAAGACTGAGACTTCAACTCAGGAGAACCATTGCAACAATTGAATCCCATTGGATTCCTGTCGAATTTGATGAGATTCTATTGGAATTTTTATAAGACCGACGAAATCCTCTGAGAATTCGGTTTGCGAAACAACATTCGGATCCTACTATTATGATAAAATGTTAACGAGTACTCAATTAACAAAATAAGATTTGCCCGTTGGATCTGTTAGTGATTCCGTAACTCGGATTTCCATAGGATTTTGTCGGCTGATCGGATTCATTCAGCTGAGACTTTAAAAAAAAGTTATTCTTATAGTATAAGTAGAGTATGATGAGCTGCGTCGAATGACTTCTGAACGTGCTTTTTAGCTCTCAAGATTTCTAAGATAATTGAAAGTGTGTCAAAAATGAAACAGCCTTGCGCTTGGACAAGCCGAATTCTCATTGTGTACAAGTATTCTTTTTAAGAACTTGTACACATTTATTATTGATTATTCTCTCGATCTAGTCTTGAAAAAGTTGTGAAGTCGATTTTATATATGCATAAGCAAAATTAAATATCATTTTCATTTCATAATCATATTATATTTCATAATTTTTGCTCATTATTAAACTGTGTTTTATAATTCTTTTTGCATTATTATATTCTATCTGATTATTTTTTTCTAGATAACACTCCAGCTGCAAATACCGACGTGATCCAGTTGTAAACTAAAACATTAATTTTCCCAAAAACATTGAAAATAACTAAAGTGTAAAAGAAATATAGTTTGGTTTAAGTTAAGCAAACAGATTTTCGAGAGTAGGAAGATTAAGGTAAACCTTAGATGCCTGTTGAATTTTTAACATCAGCTTTTTTAAAATGTTCCTTCTTGCGAAAGTTATTTTAACTTTTGTTTGCAAATTTATCTAGCATTTGTTTTTCTTAGACACTTCAGCTCATTGACATCCTATTAATTTTAGAAGTAAACTCACCCAAATATGGATAGCAAGTGTTAAGAAAAATGTCTCCGATAAAACTATACGATTTACTTCTTGTGCTTTTATAACTATCGCTTCCTTTCAAATTTAACTCAATACATATAAAACTGAAAGTATGTTTTAAACTCTCTGACAGCAGATTGAGTTAAATTTGAATTGAAGCAATATTTGTGAAAATAATAGAAGTAAAAAGTTTAGTTTTATTGGATATATTTTTCTGAACACTTGCTGTTCATCTCTGCGTTAGTTTACTTCTAAAATTAGTAGGTCGTCAATTAGTTGAAGTGTCGAAGAAAGACACATGTTAGACGTTGACCTCATTGGCGAAGGCCGTCCAGACAGAAACAATTAAGACATTTGAATGTTAAAATCAGTTATCCGTTGACGTTAAAGTGTCTAAATTAGACATATACAAATCAATCAGAACTAACTGAAAGTGTCTTGTTTATACACTCTGTGCGTCATAATTTTTTTAGAGTGTCGAATTCAGTATAGTTTGTTTCCACCGTGGCACACATCAATGATGATGCCATATCGTTTTCTTTTTCGAGTTGCTGCTGCTGCTAGTCACATCAACTGCTCAACCTACGCTCCATCTCATGCGCTTTTTGGTCATCACAACATTCTTATCTCCGAACTCATTCAAAATGAATATCGTCGATACAAATCATCCGATATGACCGGCATATCATTTTCTCCTCTTCCTGATGCAGAACTCAAAATTCAACTCTATTATAAAACACAAGAAATCAAACGGCGTAAAGAAAAATTAAAAGAAATAGCACAATCCATATGGAATAAGAAACCGAATGTGGATTATGCTCGAATTACTTTGAATGAATGTAAGACAATGTACAAAGAACATACTGGCCATGTACCGTCTTCATGGGAAGCCAAACAAATTTACAGGTCGGTGAATTCTATTCTTTTTATCGACTCTCGCTAAAACTGAGAAGATTTTTCATAAAAAAAAGGGAAATTAAGAATTACTTCCATTTTTTTTTTTGAAACACTCATTCAGTAGATAGAATTTTAAAAAAATAGCGTGCTATTTATAGAAGAGAATTTTCTAAGATAGTCAGAACAGTTTTTCTTTCACCAAATAAAAATGTAAAAAGCTTAGTAAAATAGACGACTTGGAAAAAACCTTTTATCAAAACACTTGAAAAGTAATCAACTTCAGTTCGCATAATAGATCGAATTCTTTTTTAACCGAAAAATTAATTCACATTTCTACCTTTTTTGTAGTACAACACTGGAAAAATATGCACCATGGCGTCATTTTCAAGAAGAAAAAGAACGACAAAAACATGTAACAGCAATAATAGAAGAAATATACAATGATTTGAAGAACGAAGTGAAACAAGGAAGAGATTTGACTTTATCGAAAAGTGACATGACTATTTTACTTGAGAAGAAACTCGGAGAATTGCCTTTATCCATAGATGTTGAAACCATGTGGATGGATCGATTTCGTTTGCCTCTTGTTAAATGGCTCGAATAAAGTAGTTAATTGAAAACTATTACTCGTTTTTCCTATTCTTGTTATTAAACAAGCAACTATTTATACTGTAGAAGAGCTCGACTTTATGCAAGAGTGTTTCTAATTAGAACATTACTTATTTTTTGTTTTATGTCGAGATTTCTTGGCTTAGTTCACGTAACAGGTAACTACTAATCTTCAGATCCTATATTTAACTGAGATACATTTTACTTAGGGCTTTCTAAAAGTAGTGGCAGCGGTATTTTTATTCATTATATAAAGCTTAAAGAAACTCTTTCTCATTCAACTTTCGAATCTATACATTCATAAACATAGTCATGCTGAAAATCTTGTCTTGATCAATATAAATCTTATTCAATAATATCCAAAAAATCTATTGCTGAACAGCAAAAGAATGGAAATGATTATAATTTCATCCACCACGGAATATATTGAT